TGACGACTGTGTCACGACCCATGGATTTCTCGGTCTACTGAGCTCATGGTGTGGAGCTGATGGCTCTCAAGCCTAGCTGCGCGGTATGTGAAACGATTCCAGGCTGGGAAAAGCTGCGGACTTCCTGTTTGTATGAAGATGTTTACTGCTCACCCAGGCCCAAGGATTTGGGGAAGAGGTTTGCAATTCTGCTGCGCGATTCCCAGATCCATGTCCCAGGCTGCTCACTATGTCAAAGGCATCACCCTCAAGCCTCGCACTCAGTCCAACGCAGTGGTGCACACTTGAGGCCAATGCCGTCACTGGGGTGCTCTTGCCATCGCAAGGGTTCTTGCCATCGTTTCGTTTCCACCCCGTTTGGTCCGCGAAAACACCGCAAAGGCGCGACGGAACCTTTGCGACTCTTGATCCTGGCGATACCCAGCACTGGCATAGATCCAACGAAAAACCATGGCAGTGCGAAAAACCCGTGAGATGTCACCCTTTTCTTTGCGGTTCGAGAAAATGTTGTGCCAATCAGAAGACTGGGAGACCCTCCAAAGACTGCGAAGAGGAACAATTCGACCATTGAAGTCCAACCATCGAAGTCAATTTGACCGAAGTGAAACACTTCGAAGTCAGGTGATTGGCAGACTGGGAGACCCTGCGATTTGACCGAAGCAATTGAAGTCAAACCCTCGTGATCCCTCGTGTGCCTTTTTCGAACCGAGGTGTGGGCAGCGGTCAGAAGATGCTCGACCGGTTTTTCGTGGTAGAGAGATGGTGGACTTCGCGAAGTGTCCAAAGCTATTGATCAGTTGATCTGAATGCATCGAAAGATCAGTGTCCGAAGCTATTAGACCGAGATGTGTCCGAAGTCCAAAGCTGTATTGATCAGACGATCTGTGAGATGGATCAGACCCTGCAGCACTGAGATCGTAGGCCCAGTCCCGAGAACTTGCTATGCCGATCACCCGAGGAAAGCTCAGAAGCTGCCGATCACCCGAACTCAGGAGCGATGGGTTTCTCCACGAACCTCGAATTGCTCGGTAGGTCTTCTACCATTTACTTTCAGCTTCACAGTTTTTTTCTTTTTTTAAAAGGAAGTTTGTTGTGCAGATCCAGGATAGGGCTATATAGTGCCTATGGGAATGTTTCAGTGAGCTTGTGCAGATCTTACAGCTTCAAAGTCTTTCGTGGACTGGATAGCCCCATGGTCGCTGCAGGCTGCAATAGCGCCTGTGGCGTCTTTGCCAGGCGCCTGTAGCAGGTCGTGAGTTCTGGGCCACTCCTCACCCCCCTCTTGGAGTTGGACACAGACGGTGAATTGACCGTCGATTCTCATAATTCTGACAAGAAATAAATAGCACCCAATAGCGGGGGGGCGTCAGCATGTCTCAAATGGCTTAAAGGAGGCTTTAGGCACTTAGGATTCACTTTGGATTGCTCACGTTTCTCATTTTTCTGCGGAACAACTGCCCTTTTTGTCCTGCCGAGATGATGTCCATCCATTCCGCTGAGCCAGGTTCCGACTCGTCCGCGTCCTTCGTGAGCTCCAAAAGCTCCAAGGGCAGCTCGAGGCAGCTCCAGTTCCGTCGCTGAAAGAACCGCCGGGTCGTCCATCTCCCCAATCTGCAGGTGGTTCTGGCAAAAGCTTTCAATCCCTTCAAATTCACAGGTGTTTGATGCCAAACTGGTCTCATGAGTCTCATGTTAACATGTTACTGGCCAATTTATGACCTCACAAGCAAATTCAGGTCGTGGGTCCATGCTGTTTCTTTATTCTGTTTGCAGGCTGTGTCGTTGCTGGGTCCGTCCTTGTGTCGGTGACACGGTGCAGCGAGGCAAAGCTCGCGGCAAAGCTCGCGGCAGAGCTCGCGGCACAGCTCGCGGGGCGAGACCAAGCAGAGCTCCCCCAGTGCTTCTCGCACTCAGGTGGGGCACCCAAAACGGGATTGAACATCTCGCTGAGCGTGCGTTTGGGGTCGCCAATGCGCGAGTGGCATCACCAGGAACAAAGACACGAAGGCAAGCTCTTGTTGGTTCTCTCTATATAGACTCGTTCGTCTCTGTGTCGAGTCTGAAGAGTCTGAAGAGAACGACATCGATTCAGACACCGATTGCTCTTGAGAAATTGGTTGATCCACTTTGCATCGACAAATCGTTCCGTGTCTCGAAAGGGATGGGCGGAGTGAAAATCAAGAATCAACGCTGAGATACCTTTGTACTTAACAGAAAGGCGGGCAAAGGAACATCCTTTCAAATCCCTTGTAATTGCTAGGAATCGGGTTCCATTGTACTATTTTTCGAATTGCACGATCAGGATGTTGGCACTACTTCTCGTGGACGAAGGCACGCAGTCCTTTTCGTTTAGTTCGTCTCCTTGGGACTTTCGTAGTGTGCATTTTGTAGAGCGCTGCGCAGCTGCATGTGTAGTTCTGTGAGGCTATAGACTGTTTATCAGAACGATTCGATCAAATCTGATGCGGCCATCCTCTCAAATCTTCAATTTGTCCCGCTTTCGCTCTTCTAACCTGGTGGAGTGATTGAACGGAGAGGAAGACAGAGAGTGGGAGACCATGTCAGACCATGTCTCTCCACTTTGAGAAACCACGCGCACACGCACGATCAATCCTCCTTAAGTTTCCCTAAAAATCTAAAAAGCCAAATCATTCGTGCGTGTGAACTATCCTGCGTCCTACTAGCTACTAGCTACTTAAGCTACAAGGTTTCTCCCTTACTACCTTAGCGGCCCTCCCCCGCCCACTTCTTCTCGGCTCTCCGAGCTGCCCTCAGCTGCCACACAGGCCGAGCATTAGGCCGTTGGACAAGGCCGAAGCGTGGTAAAGCGCGCGCGGAGTCTTCAACTGGCCCGAGCGGCGGAGAGCGGCTCCGAGGGGTTGAGACGGAGTCTGTGAGAGGCCGAAGGGAATTTGTATGGATTATGGATGATTAGAGCAATCGAGGTCTACTGGTTCTGGCAACAGCTCTTGAGGTTCAGGGCAAATGGTGTTGATGAAGAGATGTAGTTTTCCTGCGTTTCGGATATACTGACTGAATGCAAGATGATAGTGCGTCAAATAGATTGAACTGATGTCCCAAACGATTTCGAGAGTACTTTTCAAAGCAAATGCATTTGTCTATGTTCTTCTTTGTGGAATCACTACAGAGATGACTCGATGACTTGATAACTTCGGACGGGATGGCCGTACCAGGGCGCCTTGCTTGAGGGACTCTCAGAGGAGGACCTGCATATGGCTAGAGTGAAAAGATTTTAAAATGGACATGAGATGGTATAAGACAGTTTTCTATTCCTAAATTATATTGCCATGTTCTGTGGGGCTGGGCCATTAAATTGATTTCGGAGTCACTCGATGATGCCTGGTAATCCGTGGATTGAATGTGTTTGATGGAGCAAGTTCTTTTTGTTAAGCTTTTGCAAAAAGTGGCTTCTTGTTACTAGTAGCGATGCCAGGAGCCCCTAGTAGCGTCCTTGCTCCTAGTAGTAAGGCCAGGAGCCCGTAGTAGCTTCTTGTTCCTAGTAGCGATGCCCTTTGCTCCTCGTAGCTTCTTGCTCCTAGTAGAGAACATCTCCATTTCCTGGATGATTCTGTTGGGGTCCTATGGAGAATACCGAGCAGCGGTCTTCCATCTTGTATCACCGCCTCTTCATGGGAGTTTTAACTTCGCCGTACGAGTCGTGTCAGTCTTATATCAAGTTTCAAGTTGCACAGCACGTAGGGGTTTTGTGATGGGCGTTCCTTTTTTGAAGATCTCCTCGTCCCTGTTCAGCCAGAATTACTTCTCAACCCAACCGCCGGGACCGGGATGGAGGTTTTTCGGATGGGCTCAGGCTCGGTCTCGTTGCGCAGAGAAAAGCCTGCCTCGCCGATCAGGAGGTTTTTCTGCTTATTCTGGATCTGCTGGAAAGGAACGATGAGTTCAATTCCCTTCATGATGATGATGTGCCTCGGCTTGTGGCCAACGATTGGCACCATGTGACCTAGAAGGGTATGAAGCGGTTGTGAGCAGATTCAGCAAGGAAGAGCATGGGATACTGCAAACGGTTTGCATGCAGGAATCCCAGTTCGATGAGGAGGCAGGAGTACCATTGACACTTGTAGGTGGACATGGACACTCGTGAATCAGCCTAGTCAGATAAAGCAGTCTGTACGCTTGCACCATATCAGACCAATATCATTTCATGTTTAAGTTTTTACTTGAAGGGAAGATGGAATGTATATATATATATACACACACACATGTACTCCTAGAAAGGCATTATCCCGTAAAAAATTCCTTTGCCCCCTTTCCAAGGCTTTTAAAGTGACCGAGTTGGTGTATTCATGTTGTGATTTGTGTTGCCATGGCAGGACCAACATCTGGAGTCAGACACAGAAAGCGAGGACAAGTGTTGACAGGTCAACTCACCTACTGAGCTGAAGTGGTTTTCTTAGGTTTTGTTGGCGGCCTTGCTTGGCCGATTCTCTATCATTTCGTGATGCAGCGATTCTGTACAAACCTTTGAGAGTAATGTGTAAGCTTGTTTTCGGGTTATGGCCATAGCTGGCTTTGCTTTCGAAGGACCCCAGCGAAGAAAGTCTCATGGACGACAGGTCGGCATGTGTGCGTGGGGGAGGGAGACTGAACCAATCCCAACCAATCAGATTTTACTTTTAGGCCTTCGTTGTTGGGTTTTTGCTTGTTTCAGGCGCTCCTGGGAGGGTCTGTGACAAAAATTGATATGTATATATATATATATATCGCTATATTGCTGCGGTCTTTTCGCCTCTTTTGGTGTGAGAGCAAGAGCGTGAGCACGCATTTAGAGATTTCCATCCAGATGGAGCCAGCCTCGTTCAGACACAGCTTCTCCAGTTCTGAGCTAGTCTTGTCAGATCCTACTTGCAGCCTGAAGATTGGATCAGCTTTTGCCTTTTCTGCAACTGAGCACGCCTGAATTGAAAAGTACATGAATCGCACAAAGCACATTGGCTTCGCCAAAGCCACGATGTCGAGCCATGGATCCTTTGGAGCTCCAGGCGCAGGCCGGCGTTGTCAGGTGTATCGGCCCTGTTTCTGGGCCAGGAACTCTTACGGGAGAGGATGAAGAGCACAGGAGTTCAAGTTGGAGGACGGTCTTCGAACGAGTTCGAGTTGTTTTTTGTTGTTGTGTTTGAGGCAGATCCAGAGTCCCACCTTACGAATGTGTGCCCCTCTGCCCGGGAGTGGGCGCTCTCAAAAACTGCCTCCCAACAAGCCAAGCATTTTCGGCTGTGAGGCACTTGCAGAGAAGGTGCCCGTGAGTGGGGTCATGGCGTCTCTCCCCAGGAAGGAACTCCACTTCATGAGGTCCAGACTCAACTTCCAGGCTTCCATTGTTGGATATCCTTTGCGACATTTCCCGGCAACAAACATCTTGAGTCGTAACACTGCGACGTGGTCCATTTGCTTGCAAGTCCGGCTTGGTGTTTAATGGCATACGAACAACGGACAAGAACATTCTACATTCCTGTCGCTTGTAACATTGTAGGGGAAGTTTGCTTGCTCATCCACAACAGTTCCCTACACTTACCGACCATTTGCTTTGCCCATGCATCGGTGCCGGACACTCAGCTGCTTTTTTGGGCCCAAGTGACGCGCAGCATGAGCTTCGGCGGCCCTGGCTCGTGTGGGAAGCTTATTCTGGCGATGGCTCATCGGGTGAGGTGATGGGACTGGGACAGGACTGAAGAAGTCATCACATTTGGAGACCAATAGACTCCAAGCGTTCGAAACACAAAAGAAAGACACGCGGTCAGACATTGCCACGGACCTGGAGTCGAGCTTGGCTGTGGGGGGGTGTCCTTAAACCCAGGCCATGGGGCGACTTAAGGATGCGCTCTTCCTGGAGGCCTTGACGGTGAGCCGTTGGCCGCCGTTGGCCTTCGGTCTTCTTCGGTCTTTCGTTGTTCGCGTCTCTCTTTTTCTCAGCTCCATAGGAAGAGAGATGTGTTTCAGAAAACCGTCCATTCTCTTTTTGTCGGATGCCAGATGTTTCTGTTTGTCACTCCCAGCGATTGGGTCTTGACAAGCTCACGAAGTCCGGGAGCTAGATATGTGTCGGAATAGACCTCTAATACACCACGGAGAACATATGGCGGGCTCATTTTCAGAGCAGCTTATATATTTGTGTTTGAAGCTATGTACTGATCCTGGATATGTCGGACGCCTGGTCATCCCCAATGATGTTTTCACTGGTGGCAGAACATTTTGTATTCGCTGCTGGGCCGGTTGCCGCCTATGAGATATGACTACATAGCTGAAACCAACCTTGGCTGCTGTCTTTGGAGGCTGGTGGCTGGTGTACATCATAATTGTAATAGATTACAACTATATAAGACATTGCTGATATCCGTCCAGCTCATCTGCAAATCTCACCTAAGGATCCCCCACGAGGGTTTCCACCCTCATCCTGTGAACTGTGAACGCCGTTTTTGGTCGCGTCGAACAAAAACAAGAGAATTCATACTCCTTGGCGTTTCGGCCCGGTTTGGCCCGAACATCGTCAGTCGAAGCGCCATGAAACGTGTGGGGAGACGCGTGGCCCTGGGTCTCTTCGCATGGACCATCTGCCGCGACGGGCACGGAGAGCCCTTCTTGACCTCCCGAGCGCCCACACGGAGTGTCACCACCGACCGCTGGGAAGGACGGGGGGCAGGGAAGGAAGGACGGAAGACACATGACTCCACAAGGAAGGGGTTTCTATGAAACGTGTGTGTCCCACCTTGTAACAGTCAATTCAAGATTATCACTGGCTCTTTTTTTCTAATATATAACCACCATCATCCACCATCATCAGGGAATGGGATGTACCGATACACCCAATTTCTATTCTATCGGTCGCTTGACAAACCCTGTTTTTGGTGACTTCACCACCGTGGTGCGCACGTGGTGGAGCGCCCTGGTGATGCCAGGTGAAGACAGCTCATTTGTGGAACGAGCCCCCTTGGTGCCCAGCCTCTTTCCAAGCTTTAATCTGACGAAAGAATCAGATGTACATACTATGGCCGCAGTGATTGAAGCCACACTGGATGAGAGCTCTCGAATTGTCGATGTGAAATGCTTGCGCAGCGCTGCCCGCAGCAAGCTTTTGTATTTACTGGCCTATCTCAACAAGGAAGAGACCAAAGCCACTGCGCAGGTCTTGCCCCGTCAGCGCGACGGCCGCATGCGCTTGCGGGTGATCCGCGACTGCCCCGTGAGCGAGGACGAGGATCCGGAGGTCTTCCGCGTGGGCAGCTCGACCAACGGCACCGCCTTAGCCTCCGCGGTCTCGTGGCGCTTACGCTTCGTGCCGTCCATGCAGCGCTCGCGGGCGAACACTGTGCGCCTGGAGCTCTTTGGCTCCCGGGCGGCGGAGGTCGTCATGGATGCCGTGGAACTGGTGCAGTGTGCCACTGGACGGGAGATTTGCATGGCATCTTGGCCCCAAAAACACCTCTTTTGGAGGTCCTTGCTCGGAAAACAAAGGGACCACGTGGTGTTTTTCCGCAGGTAGCGATAGCTATAGGATTCTTACTTCAAATAAGAATGAGCTGGCTGTGCGCACTTTGGAGACAGGGTGTCGGTGCTGTGAGCTGGCTGTGCGCGCTTTCAAGACAGGGTGTTGGTGCTGGTTCCGGTGAAGTGCGTTGGCTGTGCGCGGTGCGCGCTCTTGAGACAGGGTGTCGATGCTGGTGCCGGTGCTGGATGCAGGTACCGGCGCAAGCCCTTTGATATTTTTGCTGCATTACCGGAAGCTCTCATGTCTTGTTTGATACTTAATTCTTTCTTTTTGTTTCAACTGCTTCGCTCCTTTTTTTTAGTAGCTGCTATCTGGGGTCTATGCCGGTGTAATTTTTTCAAGAACTGGCAACTGGAACTGCCTTTGTTGAGGACTAGGGCAAAGTGATTTGTTTTCAGGTCCTAAAGGTTGGAGGGTGTGTTTTCAGATCATCCAAGAAGCTTGGCTTTGGCAGAACTTGAACTTGTGAAGTCAAACGTTACCGTTACCCAGAAAACGATCACTTTTATACTGTATGTTTTAGTAATGTCTTGTATTCGTTCTGTGCCTCTAAGTGTCTTTTTAGCTTTCGGGTTCTCGTTTCTGTGCTTTTAGCCTTCTCGTTCGAGCTAAGGTGGTGAACTTCTCTGGCAATGATGAGGATCGGCCCGTTGTGGCGGCCTCCATCTCCGCCACCTGAGCAAGCCGGTGATGCATTCGCCTGACTGGATGGCAAGGGACACCCAAAGCGGCCCTTTCATGAAATGCCAGACTTGAGTTGGAAACTAGTGAACCCAATTATACCCAAGTTCTTCTGGTTCAAATTCTATCATTAGACATGCATGCCTGGCATTTCAAAGTCTTTCTAAAGCGAAGCCTGATCATCTTTGCAACTTGCAAGCACTTTCCACGGAGCTATCCTGCGGTGGTTGACTTTATCAAAAGCGAGCTTTCGCCTGCAAACCTTGATTTTGCACGCCTGGTGTAAGGAGAATATGCAGTTTTGGTCATCATTTCATAAGCCAAGGTAGATCTTGACATCGTTGCTCGGCTGTTCCCAGAAGGACATAACTTTTCTTCCGATTCAGATACATTCTTTTTCGCCCACACAGATGGCAGGTTTGGAAACACCTCCAGAGCGTTCCGCAGAACAAGGTGCCTTTGTCTTCCGTGACCACTCCGAAGGCTGGGGCTGTTCTGAGCAGAACTTCCTTTAGAGTCGGCACACTTCCACCATGCCTCATCTCACACCAGATCGGTTTGAAGACAAGCTCAGTAGACGTGGTAGACCACTTTGCTCACTCGGAAGACACTTCTTGGGTCCTTGTGACAACCAAGCATGGTCATTTATCCTGCCCTCATCGATCCCATTTGCTTCTCTAGGCGGTGAAGGATGCCTGGGCGGAGCTGCAAACCACGGGCTCTGAAGGTGTGGCCAAGACTGCGGTCTTGACGCTTGGCGTGAACTGATTTGGATTACGGGACAGGGAAGTGGGGCAGTTGAACCAAGCCTATCCGGAAACGTCAAGAATCTTTGTGTACAGTCCAAACATGTGACCAGAAGGAGTGTGCCAGTCCTGGACTCCGTAATGTGAGCCCGCATCAATGTTGACGCTTGATTCTCAGCATCACCCCCCCAAAAGCACGGTTCTATACATCTCCATCATCTCCATCTCCCCGTCTCTGCGGGGGCTTTCGATGTCAGCTCCACCAGCCCAACTGGGCCATGGGTTTCTCATGCCCGGTTTCCTCACCCTTCCGCCCGGTTTCCCTCGCCCTTCCACATTCGGACACACGACTCACGAAACCTTCCTCCGCTCCCGGTCGTTCGTTCCGTCCGTGTGTTCAGAAAAACCCGTGGCGCCGATGGTTTTTCTTTTTTCTCCGACCGGGCTGACCCGACGTCTCCAGGAAGTCGGTGCTCGGCGAGCGGGCCGACTTGTTCGAGTTCGCGGAGGGTGACACCATCGAGCTCACAGAGGCCAGGTCGACTTCGGATCCTCGGATGGTCCGAAGACGTCGGGCAGAGAACGTCCGAAGACGGGGTAGCATGGTCCGAAGGGGTCGGAACGCAACAAGAATGTGGACCGTATGCGGCCGTATACGTCACAATCATTCACAATCCCTTTCTCATCCTTCTTCCCGAAGTGGCAGTGTGGCAGTTGGGCCAGCAGTTCCAAAGGCCGCTGCAGAAGTCAGGAAAGAGAGGAGAATTCCAGCAGAGCCCAATGAATGTAGACCGAGCATTTCAGTTTTTTCAAGCGAACGTGGAAAACTGGGGGTCTTTGGGTTGCAATCATGAGAGTAGGCTGCGGCTTGTGTGTCACTTTCAACTTCTTGGTCCTTCAGTGCCCTCCAGGCGGCCCAAATGATGAATCCAACCGATGGCTTGCCAGCTTCTCGTTGGCAATGCGTGCTGGGTGCGCGGAACTTTGAAGGTGCCATCCGGCATTCTGAACCAGGCAATAAAAGCTGGGGATCTCTTCCCAGAGAGCTGCTGTGAGCTTGAGCTTGTTTCGATTATAACGATGCTCACAGAGGTGAATTGCGTCCACAAGAGGCCGCCGGGCAATCGCCAGATCGATGCGGTTTTGTTGTTTTTGCCGCCAAGGACAATATTCTGACAGCTGATGGTGGCTTGATGGAGGTGCCATGGAAAGTGCGTCTTCTTCTCAACATTAGTCTCCGGCCATAGCTTTTGCTGTTAGGGAGACCTTTTTAGGTGCAAGTCTATGCTGGCCATCAGATTGAGTGCAACGCCGTGATTATTT